GGGGGAACCAAAATCAAGCCACAAAGAAATGGCTATTACTTTTCTTATTTTGAAGCTGCTTCTCTGGGGATCCTGGGCACACAAAATTCTGCCGGTAGCAACAAATACAGAAGTTTCCATGCACAAATCCAATTAATTCCATCCAAACTCTAACACATGAGTGAGTAGGAAAAAAGCCAGAAAACAGGTACCCAGAATACTATAAATTCCAGGTAAACACAACAGATGCTATAATAAACATTAAGAAACCTGTGATAAACAGATTCACACACTGTCCCCCCCGCCCCCCAAAGGGTACTTTCTATAATCTTTAAGCCTCTAGTTCCCCACAATCAAAAAGGAGTGCAACAAAAGTACAGGAGCCACAAAACAAAATATTTCATAGGGTTATCATGTTAGGTACCATCTTACCACATTTCTTTCCTAAATACCTTCCAGTTCTGTTAATATGCTGAAATGTTCTCTGTGGAAAAAATAGCCTAAATAGTTCTGGAAGGAAGCATTGCTTTCCTCTTTCATCACTGGAGATGCCTCATGATTACAACAGAGGTCTTCTGACAGCTCCTCAAAGACAAGATGGTTAATTCTGTACTTGCTTTTCATGTTGTTATCTCAGTCTCTAAATTGCTGAGTATGAAGGAGAGGAAGGATAAATTATTAGAGTAATATGCAGAAAAAAGGCGTGTGATTTTCTACCTTACCTTGTTCTGCCGCAGAAACTTACCTACTTTGTTTTTCTATGGACTTAACAGACCAACACATGAGAAATCAGTTGTAGACTTTCACTATCTAGAGATAGCATGCTCAAAAAAACCCAAACCCAAAACAAAACCCAAAAAACCAAAACACCAAACAAAAAAAAAGCCCCAAAACCAACAACCAACCAACAAACCAAATAACCAAACCCCCCAAAACCCACAAGACCAAAAAACTGAACAGGACTTCCATACACACACACAGTGGTAGATACATTTTTAATGTTTTTGTTTTTCTGGCCCCAAACACCCACAAAATTTAATCAGCTGGTAGTAACTTTTATAGAAGATAAATGAACTTCTGGGTGTGAATCAGTAGAGATCGCCTCCTCTCAGCAACAAAGCTATCCCAGGTGAGTATGCCATATTTCCATTAGCTGACAAAGTGAAGCTACTGAAGGTTTGCACGTGTGCCTGGGTTTTGCTTTTTAAAAATGCTCTTGAACATTCCAGCTAACATTGCCAGTGCATATTCATTTGATGAAGCGGTCACAGACGTTGAGAATGAGGACGTACATCAATCACTTCATTAACTTCCACTTGCCTTCTGGGAGTGTGCGCATCTAACAGGAACAAAATATGTTTGTAGCATAATGCTCTTCTGATATTCTCAGTTTACAGCAGGTTTCTAAGACTTTTTAGCAGGAGTGTAAATCAGGGTGGCATGAAGACAACTAGTTTTATTAAGCAGTGAGTTTCAGGAAAGAAGCTATCCAGCTTCTGCGAGAACACCACTCCTGGCTAAGAACACATCCTAATTCAGAAAACATGGGCAATTTTGAGAAAGGTAGCAAATGTAGAAAAAGTTTTGTCCAAAACACATGTAAAGGCAGTAAACCCCACTAGACACGTCCAGAAAGTTTTAAAGCTACAAAGCGTTGATCAAAGAAAAGGATTCAGGTTCATAAAATGTTTACTTGTAAAGAAGAGCAAATCAGAATGCAATTGATCAGAGCATCGAGACCATTGTTAATGAAAAGAAGTCAGACACGACAGACCCTGGTTTGAATACAGTTTCTGTGTTTTTCTACTAACTGTAAGCATGGTGGGCCAGCCTTGGGTAGAAGTTGCTTTGAATTCTTTGTTACCATATTAAGTTTAGACAAACAGCAGGCAGACGGAAAACTACTTTTGTGAACTCCATTAAAAACTCAACATAGACATCATACCTGATGTTTTGAGACAGCCACTGATGCATAACTGACCTCGTAGTTAATAGAAATTATATACCTAGCAGGTTTTACATAATTACCAGAGTACCTACTTGTATTTTCATGAAATTTCTGACCTTTAGAATTTATCATAGATTACCCTGTTAAGGATCTGTCTTCAGATTAAGAAAAAAATGCATGAATACCAAAGCTATGGAAATAATGTTCTTGTAACAGCACCTCATTTTAGTGATAAGAGCAAAATAAAGAAAACTTAATTTTCAGCAGATGTGACCTATACAGCCTCTGTTGATAAGCAGGCTGACTAAGGATACATCCACTTTCATCAATTTTTCTATTCCATAGGATAATGTGGAATAATCTTCCTAAAAGCGGCACAAAAAATTTAAGCATTGCAAACAAAAAATATGTCAATACCTCATTTCACAATCACTTTTCACATTTATTAAGCTGAGCTACCATTTTACATGTTGGTACAACTCCTAAATGAACAAGTCTGATCTAGGTGATTCTTTGAAACAAACTGATAAAAATGCCACTTGACATTTTTCAGTTATTTTTCAGTTATTTGAACAGACACATTAATAAGCAGACCCCTGTAAGTTGCCCTTCTCAGAATCACCAATTCCAAGAACACTAATTAACAAAACTTTTCCAGCAAGAGAAATTCCAGAAGGAACGGGGAGTAAGAAAATCGTAATAAGCCACATCAGAATTCTTGCCTAGAATAAGCATTGATAGAATATGCCTTTCTCTGTAAACTAACACATCCAGACTTTTGCAGCCCCAAAAGAACCCCCCAATATCCCTCATTTGAGGATTTAGAGCAGAAATTGCAATTCTAGTTACAAGTGACTACAGGGCACAAACAATCAAAAGATAACAATGCACAAGCTATTAGAACACGAAAGTGCTATATCTAGAATAAACCCGTCAGCCACAGAGGGACCAAAGTCCCTCATTTCAGCATTCATTTCAGCACTGTCCTTAAATTTCTATGAAACAAAAATTCTGTCTCAGAGGAAGGTTCTGTTAACCACAGACTATAAAATTCAAAACCAGGCAGACAAGCACAAAGAAAACTAATATATTTTAATTGCATAGGCTTAAGAAATGCAGTTCAACATACAGTTAATTTTGGTGACAGGTATATTGAAACCAAAGGCTACCTATATCTCTCTCTATATAATTCATAACACATTTTTTGTTTCTTAACAGAAATAATTTTACAGAATTAACAAGATGTATTACATCGAAAAGCACATCTGGCTGCGTATTTGAAGTAGCAAGGAATATTTTAATTCATGGTTTAATTTTTGTTGTGACAGAAGTGGGGGTTTTGGTTTGGTTTTGTTTTTTTCTTTTACACTTTTCTGTTTTATACTTTCAGACTAGATAGGAAATGCTACATATCAGTTTGACAAAGGATACCATTGCTAAGTTTTAGTTTAAAAAAATCACAGCAACAGAAAATACAGAAACCAGGTATTTAAATATAAATTATTTGTTTTGAAAGCCACTTAGCAAAATACAGGAAAGGAAGAGGTGCATTACAAAATATGTGTGTGTTTATTAAAACCTTTGTGATTCAATGCTCAGCTTCAGATGCCTGATAAATAAGATCAGTCAAGACGGTCCACATAGTAGTTCAAAGGCTAATTGGTGTGAACATCTCTGCACTTTCAGTACTGCAGACATCCTCAAAGTTGGAAAAGGATGACCTGCTCACTTTCAGGCTAAGTACCAACATAAGAAACAAGAATCGAGACAAAGAATATTATAAGAATAAACATATTATTTTTATAAGAATAAAACTCTGAAGAAAAGCTACCATTGGTACCTATACAATCAAATTTAAAGCTTTTCACAGTGCATCATAAAACTAAATTTTCTCTTGCACATACCCCTTCATGCCTTTTAGTTTCTAATTCCTTCTTATTTTAAAATAGGTCATTTCATTCTAATATCAAGTAAATGACACCTTTTGGTACGGGGAACAGCCTTTATTATTTCCAGTGAAAAGGAATGAACAGCATTTATATTTAAAAAGTGGTTAGCATAGCTCAACAAATGCTCTAAGAAATTTGCCATGTATTATTCTGAAAGCATCTAAAATTTTCAGTCCCTGAAATCAGTTTAAGACACTAATTATGAAGTAATGCACATCAAGACTAAATCCTCCCTTATTAAGCTCACTCCTTGTTTAGAAAATGTCTCCTCTTCATTTTTGTCATCTTGCACTCTAAATTCCCCAAGGGTTCCTTAAGATATTGACAAAATCATCATCAGCCATGATTCCAATACTTAATCCTTCATAGTAATCTTCAAACTCAGAATAGGACACTTCATTGGGGTTGCTGCAAGACTCTCCTAATGTTTCTAGAAATGACAATTTGATTTCTTCTTCTGTAGCTTTGCCTGTGAAAGTATATTTTTCCATTAAATATATGATAGCACATGATAGCATTACATATCAACGGAAGTATGAAGCCACAGTCAATTTCAATGAACTATGAGATCAGGAAGAATTTTTTCTTCAAATGACTCCAAAAACTGGATAATGCGTTTGGAAACTAAAATTTTGGTAATTCAGAAGTTACCTTGTAATAAAGCATATGTTTAATGTAATACAAGTTCAAAGTTCTAGGAAAGCCTTAAGATGCAAGTTTGCATTCGAAAAGTGTTCTGCAATTGACATGTGCGTTTTAGTGATTATTAATTAGTGATTAAATATTATACTTAAGATGATTTCATAGCATTGAGGAAAAAAATGGAAAAAATATAGCATTATAGCATTGGAAGAAATTGCATGTGCAACATCCCTATACCACCAAGTGTCTTCATGTGTTACCATTAAAATCACTGGCAATACAAAAAACACCCTCTTCTACAGGTAAAACAGAAAGGGTCAGGACACTAGGGAGACTTTCACAAATGACTAGTTTGGTACATGGAGATGTTCTTTTAGAAACTGACATACAAATATTTAAATTCCTATTTTTTTCAATGGCAGAGTTTAAACATTTTTGAGAATCCTGAAAAAATAGTGAAGATACCAACACTTCCTCTGTAAAAGATGACAATCCTGTCCCAGAAATAAATGAATAGTTTATTGAGAAGGAACTTCAAGTGCTGAGTACACTCAGTGTCAGTTGGAAACCTTGCATATTTTGATGGAAAACAGTAATACGAAAGTGAGAGTATCCTCCTAAGTGAAAATTACTAATATTATATGTGTCACTGATCACTTGCACACCAAAGCTGAGAACTAATTACTTAGATGTAGTCCTACACAGGTAGGGAAAGGAACTCCTCTGCGTATATGCAGTATTTGCAACTGGATAAAAAGCAAGTATTAAAATTGCATATATGAACTCCATTATTATTTATAATCATATTCCAGATAGACACATTATAGGTCATCAGAGGGAAAAAAGTTCCCTTAACAGCTCAGGTCTAAGCCAACATGAAAACAGTTTGTATTTGCAACCAGTTTCTGGACCTGGTATATCTGCTATTGAGATGACTTCAGTAGTTACGGATTTTATTTTTTTTTGTTCATGTGAATTACCTGCCAATACTAGAGGATGTTTCTTTGCACAGTAACATTTTCTGATATCTACCATAGGCACGCTCCCAGTTTTGTTGAAATCTAGTTTCATATAAGCCTATAAGGGAAAAAAAATTCATAGAAGCATATAAGGAAAAAGAAAAAAAGTGGAAAGATGGAAAGATCAAATGTATTTAACTACCTAGCACATACTGTTAGATCTTGCACAATGGATTATGTCAACTTACCTATTTTATGTAAGGCACCAGATACCAGAAAATTATTCTAGATTATGGAATTTCATGATTATTTTATCTCAACAGCTTTTACGTCAAATGTGGTCCCCTCACCAACTCAAAAAAATTTGTCTTCTCTCCAAAATTTCTAACTCATCCTTAGAATCAGAAGTTAAGCTGCTTCCCTTCTGCCTCTTCCAGTTACTAAGATTCCTGCGTCATTCTGACAGGCCTCAACACAGCCTCTTCAGCACTGCTAACAGCAGCTTCATTTTTATTTCAGTTTACTCAAATACACATGCTTGATACATAAGGCTAGGAGAGTCAGATCTTCCGTGATTAGAAGTATGAAAGTATGTGTACATTTTTCTTGATTTTGATATACAGTTGCTACTCTATTGGCTGGTTTGTAATCACCATTTCATACTGCAAACAGCTTCACATTATATTATAGACATATAACAAACGGCATTTCAAATATAGGAAGTCTCACAAATATAATAACTCTAATTGTAGGTCTCAAAGGAAGCAAGTATTATTGCCTCTATTTCAGACACTGAGGAAAAAAAATCTGCACACAGATACAGTGATCTGCCAAAATAAGGAAACAGACTTCTGGAAGAGATAGTTTCAGGGTGCCAGATGCTTTATACACTGGACTGAAGTGTAAGAATAGCACACATATGCATAAACTCAAAATAATAAAGGAATTAATTCTAGAGTTCAAAATCAGCTAATTCAACAATGGAAGAGCATGCAGTCTTCTAATTTATGTTTATTTTAAGAAACTGATCTGAAAGTTTAAAAAGTCAATTACCAGATGCACAAGTCAAGAAAAACAACAAAAAACCCAACAACCAGAACATGATGAATAAACAGCTTCAAAGTTAGACTGCAAAATATCTACACCTAGAATATCTGCAAAAAACTTACTTTTCTTACAAATGCTTTCCGATATTCATTCATTTCTCCAAATACAGCACGAGTAAATTCTCCGTAGTCGACCTTACCACTCTTGCTATCATCAAGAGTAAGCCATAAAGATTCAAAGTCCTGCAATTTAAAAATATTTTGCCAAAGTTCTTCACTATGTCCTAGAACTAAACAATTGCTATAATAGGAAATTACAGTATTCTCACAAAAAAACAACTTTCAAATCAAAACTGATGCAAAGATCCATCGAAGTAATGCAAGTCATCATCGGTCACTGATGACCAGAATTCACATTATTTGCAGTTTTGATTAGCTGTGGGCTGTTTTTAAAACATAATATATAAAATCAAGAAAAAAAGATAAGTAAATAGCATCATATAAATTATTTTTAAAAGGTCAAAAAAAGAAAAAAAATTGATTGCAAACCCACTTGCTGCACATTTTTAATTTTTTTAATTTTAAGGATTTCATATAGGACTGAATGCAGAAATGCCAATATACCACAAGTAAAAAAAAAAAAAAAAAAAAAAAATCGCAACAATAGCTATTAAACTATAGATTTAAGCAAAGAAAGGAAGCGATTCCATACATTAAAGTAAGATAATACCCATGATTACAGTTTCAGCTAGACTTACCTCTTCAGGTATTTCCAAACGGAATACTTTTAGAGCTTCTTTAAAGTCTGCCTGAGAGAGAAAACCATTTCTGTTCTTGTCTACGTGTCGGAAATACTTTCCTAAGCCTGTTATAACCCGAACTCCTCTTTTACTTAGTGTGTCTCTGAGTATACCTGAGGATTTAGAGAAATAAAGGACACAATGTTTACCTGAAGTTGGCCCCATGCTATGGAGCTGATATAAAAGTAAACCACAACTACTTACGATACTGCTGGTTAAAATGACACATACACACATCCAGGCTCCCCTACCTTTGGTGAGAGAACATCAGTTCAAAATGAAACTATCAGTTACTCAACATTTGAGTAGAAATCATATAAAGAAGCAGCAACCAACATCTAACAAAACATCTAAAGAGATCACAGAGGAAAGGAAGAATGGATATTGCCCTTCATGTGCTCAGACTATAAAACTGCTTACTTCTGCTAGAACTGATTACATACCACGATTCAACATACGAAGCAATTTAGGAACACTACTTTGGTAATTCAAGCATTCCATTATGGGACACACAGTTTATCCTTCATTGTACAAACACGTTAATTACATGTGAAAACACGAACAAATGTAAGTAATTCTGCAAAATCGTTCCAAAATTATACAGAGAGAATATTTCTATGGTAAAAAAATTACAGCCTTATCAAAATCTCTGGATAGCAGGGTTTACTTTAGGGATACCTGAGCTTCCCAGCATACTCTATTAACAGAAATCATCTGCTGTTATCATAGTATATCTTCACATTACTTGTATCTACAATTATATGGGGGGGGGGGGAGGCAGTGAAAGAAGAAAGTTTCTTTCCAGTAAAGTTCAAATTCAGACGTATCTTAAAATATGTCTTGAAGTATACACCTATAACCTTCTTCCAAGCCACACCAGCAAACCTTAGATGTAGTCAGATAATTGAGAAATCAGTTTGTGTCTATTATGCAAGGGAAAACATGGAATAACTAGAAGATTAAAAAATATCCCTAATTTATTATTCCAACAATTTTTACAAACTTAAATGTCCAAGCAGATTTTAGTGACCAAAGACTGACTAGTTGAAACAGGTTTAGCTAATGACAGTAAATAGTGGAGATTCTACATGCTGGAAACTGTTCAGTTCAACAGTTCTTGCTGACCGCAGGTTACAAAGATAACACACAGCACTGCATAAACATCTTCCCATAATTTTAAACACAAAGCTATACCTTTGTCCTAAAGAGTGTAGGTAGGAACCTGGTAAAATTTAAGTACACATTCCAGAGTATACTACTCAATTGTACTCACCTATTTTAATAAGCATAATATTGAAACTATCAAAAACAACTTATCAATGTATAGAAATAATGGCCTAAAGAAGGATCTAGCACAAAATTAACTGAAGAAATGAGATTGCGTTTGTACATTTTGCCAGTAACTTTTTAAATTTAATTTAAATTTAATCAGTGTTATGCTTCAGCATTTTTTCAGAGATTATGTCAACACAGAGATGAACATTTTATTTATTGCATTCACAATTATTCTGTACTGTCTCCATGATCTTTAGCCAGACTGTTTATTTAAAGAAAGAGAGAGAAGAAAGTATTCTTATGATTGATTTATTCTGGTATCAGATTCTAATAATATTCTGGTAAATATTTAACTTTTGTTTAATTTAATTTATAATACTACTATTGTTCTTTGCGTTGAGCTGTAAAGATAGAGATACAGAAATCAAAATTAAATGGATTCTGGTAGACACAAACCTTGAATCTTCTTGAAAACTCTGCTGTCATCGACCACTTGCTTGGAACACTCTTGCTTGAATTCCACAGAAGAAGCCCTAAAATAATCAAAATTAATCTTGATTGGTGAAATTACATGTAATATTACTGTATACAAAACAGCTGTAGAAAAAAACTATTAAACTTTATATTTAATTCTTATACTACCCTTATAAGCATAGTATCCAATTGCTTGAGTTTGAGATGGCAGACACAAAAGCCTTTGCTGAACAGCTGCAGATATGCAGAAATTCCTTTCTGATGATATTCCATTAGCAGCTCCTCTACTAATTCATTAATCATGGATAATTCCTCCTGTGTGTAAAATTTCCAGAAATTTATTTCAAGACAGTCCTGATCTTCAGCTCAGGCCACCAGAACAGTTTGTTAAAGCAACTACATTTAGTTACCAACAGGAAAATAACATGGAGTAGCTACAAATCCCTCTTTAGAAGAATAATAGCAAAGGTGTAGACCAAAATCTGCATCAGCATATCTTAGGTATGATCTAGGAATTATGGTTATATTTTGCATTTTGTCTGGCAAGTGATTTCCTTCTGAGAAGGGCTTCCCAGAAACCCCCATCATAAATTATTATAGAAGTTGATAAAAAACAAAATACTGTGGAAGAACCCATTGGAAGGGGAAAAAAAAAAAAAGTCCAATAATTATTTTAATCATAATAGGAAGGCAAATGCAAAATCACTACTGTCAAATTTGAGCTGCTTTCTCACCAGTGCTTTGCCTGGAGTACTCCTTCTTCTTTCTGAAGCCAAAGACTTACCTCTCTGCTGTCTATTAAGACCTTTTATCTCTACTTTGGGTACCTCCCATTATTAAGTCCCTAAAAGCTTGTCCATATTAAACCACCTAAACTGGAAAGTCAACAGCCACCTACAGAGGACAGTGTACTCTCTCTAAAACACATGTAAACCACAAAAGATTCATAGCTTGTGACAGCAGGGCATAGCTGCTCCTGAAAACCTGTAACAGACCTCTTGGACTGCACCTGAGCAGGATTCTCTGTGAGTACAGTAATGGGTGTAAGAGGACTCAATTCAAGAGTTTTGCACCAGAGAATACGAAGTTCAGTAACACCCCCATTCAGAAGAAAAAGACAGACTTCGCAATCTGAAATTTAGTCACTAATGGAAAGAACACAGAGAGAGATCATAAAAAAGAAACAATCTGTTCCACCACAGGTAGCAGAAAATCCAAAATTATAACCCAGTGAGCAGGTCTTTGTTCTGAAGCCTTCAGAGATAACATTGGATCAATTCCAAATTTCACAGGTTTAAGATTAGCAACAAATGAAAGAAAAAGCTGTTTACCAGAATGATAGGCTTCTGAGATGTAAAATGTTTTACATAAACTATGTGAAATTAAACTATATTGTTTTTTATTTCATGGAAACCTTGTGGAGAGGGAACAATTAGCACTAAGCATCCTACAACTATACATTCCTTTAACAAATTACATTTGAATTTACTGTTTTATGTACTATTAGCTCACTATGACTCCTTTGCAAAGCTTTCAGTGTAAAGGGACCTTAAAGTGAATATTACCGTAACTGAGAACAAGGTTCATGCGTCTAAACACTTGCAGAAAGAAAAATAATAGTTAAGTTGTTCTAACAAAAGTAGTCTTCAGATAGTGAATGTATTTAATTGAGATTCTGTTATTGCTCTTCCTAGTCAAGAAGGGATTGAAACATCTGATATATGAGTAGAGGCCAGGAGAGCTAGGACTGTTTAGCCTGGAGAAGAGAAGGCTCAGGGGATCTTATCAGTGTATATAATACCTTACAAATACCTGACAGGAGGGAGCAAAGAAGATTGAGACAGGCTCTGCTTGGTACAGCCCAGTGACAGGACAAGAAGCAATGGGCACAAACTGAAAACAGGTTCCCTCTGAATATCAGGCAACACTTTTGTACTGTTAGGGTGATTGAACACTGGAATAGGTTGCCCACAGAGGCTGCACAGTCTCCATCCTTGGAGATATTAAAAAACCCAACTGCTGCAGCCCTGAGCAACCTGCTGTAATAAACCCTGCTCTGAGCAAAGGGGTTGGACTAGAAGCCCTCTTGAGGTCCCTTCCTGTGATTCCATGATTTTATGAAAATTTGGACCTTGTAACATCTACTATTGGCTAACAAAGTTTGATTATTCAAATTTTGGTGAGGAGTGTATTTCCAACACTGCTAAGTAACTTCCATGTTCAGACAACACAGCAGTGCACTAAATTTTATACCAAGATTTCACTTGTGCTAAGAACCAGTATACACACAATAAAAGCCATAGCATTCTCCTTTTCCCATAGCATTCTCCTTGGGAAACTGGCAGCTCATGGCTT